AAATAGTCTAATCGAGTGAATAGTATAGTATAACTATAAAAAAAATTCAGCTAGACATGGAGAGTAATCAACATGAAGATAATTTCACCCACTTAAAAGATAAATCATTTTCGTACACCTATTCTCCCCAGACCCTCCCCGATAATCTAGCTAGTTATCAACATTGTTGTTGATGCAAAATATGGCAAGCCCATACATACCTCCTTGTCGTAGCCTCGATGTTCGACAAGTCGTCATGAATTTTGTACGACGATAGATAATTACATCTCAAAAAGAAAAAAAATTCAACCAATAGGCGTTTATGGCGGATGCAGCATCATCAAGATTCTCATCTTCCAAACGAAAGCCATGGCTCGACGGACGGGAAAGTCCGGTCCAGTACATGGACTTTCTTTGTATGTGAATCTTGATGATGCTACGTCTGCAAACAACGACTGCACATTTTATATTATGATGATGAAGAAGATGATGATGAAGGAATTTACGGAGTATATGGAAATAATAACAATAATAAAAAGCTTTGAAAGAATAAGTGAAAATAAAAAATGGAATGAAGAGCGTATGAGCTTTATCGGGTGGTTAGGTTAAAGTGGGGGCGGCGGCGGCTGAGAAGCAAAGGGAAAGGGTTTGACGGCGGAGGGAGAAGAGATGGATCGAGTAGGTGGAAGATAGGGCAAAGTCTATTTATATAGGGAGTACTCCTCCATCCTTTTGAATTCTTAACACATGATTTTAATTTAATAAAAAAAATACTCTCAAAAACTTTGACTTAAACTTTTTATATTTTCTCTGTCCCATAAACTTTTTTATAATTATAATTAATTTGTCGTATACATCATGTCTTATCTTATTATAAAGTAATAACAAAATTGGAAAATAATATCAAAATCATATATAGGTTTTTAGGGCACGTCTTTTTTCCTTGTTGAAAAATTTTTATGAGACGGATGAAGTATTAATTTTTTTTATATTAACTGACTCATCGCATTGTGGCCGCACCACAACAAGTTCTGACTTCTAGCTTGAACTTATGGATTAACTAGTATAGACTACTTGTCCCTTTTGAGAATGTCGATACCAGTGATTCATGCGATTATGCGAAAGCAAAGTTAAATTCTCAAACTTTTTATTGCAAGGTCTAACAAGTATTCACTTCGTTTCCTAAAATGATTCATGTTTGACTTTGGAGAGATTTATTTTCGTAGTTTGGCCTTCTAATTATATTCTTATCATAGAAGAAAAAAGAGAGACGAATCATTTAAATGACTTATTATATCAATGCAAATTGAACGGAGTATCTTGCAACGACATAACATAGATATATTAGTCATTTTTTACAAAAATGAAAGCATTTTAAGAAAAATGAAAAAATAAAAGAGAAACTATTTTAAGAAACGGATGAAGTATAAGTTTAAATTAAAATTGGTAATGATTCGATTGGTGATGCTTAGATCTGTGTAAACAAAGGTCGGCCCGCCCGTCATTTTTTGCTTCCTATTGCCTCTTTTCTGATGCTTAAATTAGGCATTGGAGACTTGGCTTCTTCCAAACAATGCTCAACCAGATTTGACATATATGGGTACGTACCAATTAGTCATTCATAACCATCTTTATTAGTGCTGTAATCCCGAACAAGCTAAGGGCCATTTTGTTCCAATAAAAACAAGAGCCCAATGGTAGGAAGTATTTAATCTTCAAATTTAAATACAAAAATAATACGTACTGTACTAATAAAAAGTACACATCGCACAATATTTTATTTAATAATAAAAAATAAATACATACTCGTACAGTATTTCATTAAATACTCCGTGATAAAATACTCCGTAGCATTTTTTAGCAAGATGACGCCATTTAGCGCCGGCCTCGAAAAATAAAAAAAATGAAACAAGCCCGGTCCGAAATTTATATTTTTAGGGCCTATTTTATTATTTTAGAATACTTATGCTTTAAAACAAATTTAAAAATATGGGACCCTAAAATTTTAATGACCCTGCGCGGTTAGGTACTTTGCACACCCTCCGGGCCACCCATGACGCCATATTTGAGAGAAGAATGTTGGATTCTATAATCTGAGAGTAGGAATTTATGAATTTGTATTTGTTTTTGAGTGGTTATATATATATATATATATATATATATATATATATATATATATATATATATATATAGATTAAATAAATTCGAATACATCTTTGATTTTTAAATAAATAGAAATATATGATAGTATATTAATTACACAAAATAACATTTTCAAACAAATACGGAGTATTATTTAAAAAAATCTAAAAAATAATTTTTGTATCAATATATAATACTATCAATTTATTTAATTAATGGTCAAAGTTTATCAACTTATTAAATGTAAAAAGTCAAAACTAAATAATATCAACGATTGATTAATCACACTGTCATATTAGAGAATCAGTATTCATTCGCCTCTATTCCTCCTAGACGTCTCTACTTCTAATATTACATTGCTTTCCCCTTCAATTTTCTCCACACTTTTCTAATCATTTCCATACTTTTTAATTATTTTTTTCACGTGTCATCTCTTCATTTGTACAAAAAAATTAGACAAAAAATTGCCCAATCACCTTATTCTCTCTCTAGATAATATTCCTCCCTCCTAATCTCTCTTCTTTACTTCTCTCTCCTTTTCACACATTTTCTCTTCTTTCCTCCACATCATCTCATTCCTCTCTTCTTTCCTCCTCTACTCTACATCACACTGTCATTATACTCTTATTTTATTTTTAAAAAATTTAAAACTCATATTTTGATACTTTTTCCATCCCTAAAAGAATTACCTTTTTTCCATTTTTATTTGTCCAAAAAAGAATTACCTCACTCTATTTTTAGAATATTTTCCATAAAAAAATGTATGAGTACGAGGGAGATAATGATGAGATATGGGATATAGACATATAGTGGAATGTAGAAGGGTAGAATGGTCATTTTGTTATGGAAATTATTCCAAAAATAGAGTGAGGTAATTCTTTTTTAGACAAATAAAAATGGAAAAAAAGTAATTCCTTTTAAGAATGAGGGGAGTATTTTTTTATACTTTTTTATTTTTATCTAGACATTTTTTCTACTCGGTAGTATATTAGTGCGCCATGGTTGGGCCAAAATGCCCACAACGGGCTGTCTAATTGAGGATAAAACGTACACATGCATGTTCCTTGTTTTTTTTGCAAAGCATGTTCCTTGTTTGTTATGAATCGGGAAATACTGCATTTGATTATAATTTATGCAAAATTAAGTAAATCACGTTTTTTCAATTCATTTTATTTAAAGATTGGTATATAAATAAAAAAATAAAATATATTACATTATTAAAAAGTATATCAAAGGTTCTACAAAATAAAAAAGTAACAAGAATATTTTATTTCATCAATTTGTCAATGGACAAATAAATAAAAATTCCTATGATTTTTGAATAGTAAATTAAAGTGCGTAAATCATTTAGGGGCATTGGAAGTAAGTAATTCGTGCCATGCCATAGTGAAACTAATTTGGAGTGTGCTAGGAATATCCCAAACTTTATACCCGACATATGCATCAATGTATCATAGAGTCATAGACACACAATTATTATTTGTACTTATACAGACAATGATTATCTGTGTGTGCCGTGTAAATTGGGTACAAAATTTAAGGCACAATTAACTTTTTCCAACTAAATTTGTCATATATGCATGATGTAAAGTAGTGCCAAACACAGATGTTAGAATATGTTTTTTTGTACATGTTAAAATAGATTTTTCAAAAAAGATTAGATACGGATAAACGTTGCGCAGTTGGAAAAATGAGAAGTGGCATAAAAATAACACTCTAGTTCAATATGTGACAACTGCTTTGAGAGACATCTATGATAAGAATAGAGACTTTCTAAATATCAGGTGCTTACTTATGAAATATGTGCACTAAACATCACTAAAACTTAAGTCATTTCTCGACATAGCACTTAAATTTTTTTATTCCCTAGATATCACTTAATAATATCCATAGTGATGGTGTAAATTACTTGACCGGTCAAACTATACTAGACCGGGTCTAGAATAGTTGGCACGATTCAGTAAAGTAAAGAAAGTAAAAACACTCAGAATGACCGGTAGGACTTTAGGTGGAACACCTGTAGCCCGAATTATATTAAAACAGAGAATGCACGGTCACTTTTACAAGGGAGTTTAGAGTGAGTGAATTCGGATCCCTCCTTCTGAGGTTTACATGCGCATTTATACTAGGCTGAAGGGGGGCAAGACCACGTGCACCCACGTGGGATTACGCTGCCGCAAGTGGGAGGTGACTGCTTCTCAGCTGCCTTGTCCTCTTGCGCAGGGGGCTGCGCCTTCGTCGTGTTCTGGTTTGGAAAGATGCCTCCACCATCTCTGCAATTCCAACCACTATAGTCCAAATCCTTTTGGATTCCTCCTGCCGACACTCTCCGATCTTCGGGAACTAGACCGGGTGTTCTTTCAGGGTTGGTTTGGCTAACTTCGGAGGATGAATTTAGGCGATGGAATAGTTTGACCGGTATACTAACCCGAAGTATACCGGTCATCTTTCTGGTCAACCAGCCATTCCTTTGCTGACGACTCAGATCTCCCTTTCAAGTTTGACTTCTTTGACCGGTCAACTTTTGGGTTCGGACCCTTGACCGGTCATGGGTGAAATACACCCATCAATAAGCCCTCCACTTCTCGGTTATGCAATTTTGTCATAAGCGGGAAGTAAAAATACTGAAACAGGACTTTTAAATTTAAATTTCTAATTTTTCCCGCTCGAATATTTCAAATTCAAAATTTGAACTGTCGGCTTTGACACGTGTTTGGCGCTGGCCATTGCAGCAGTCGCGTCCCATCGCCTTCCCCATGCGCCATCATTGCGCCGCCTGACGCGGCGTGTTCTCGCGTGGCCACGTCGCTCCATTTGGCCTCCTCTCCTCCTATATAAAGGTCTTCAACCCATTCATTCCTCCACTTCTTCTCGCGCGACCCTTCTGAGTTTCACCGGTCGTTCTCTCCGCTTTAGCTTCATAGCCCTCCGAGCCAAGTAAGCTTCTCTCCTCTTCTTATTAGCTTTCTTTTCTCCATTTTTCTTCCCGGTAAATGTCTTCCCCTGATAGTCAAGACATTTCCGCCTCGGATGCCCGCGCATCCGAGGAATCCCTTTCCTCTTCTTCTTCGACCAGGTCGTCTTCCCCCATTCCTCAACCCCGGTTGATTCCAAATCCCAACATCCCTGAACCGCAGCCGGTAAATCAGATGCCCGGTCAGGTTTTTCAGGAGAGGGATGCACCGGTGGAAGATGAACCGGCTCCCTATGACCCTGAAAATGAGTCGTACGAGGCATGGGAGGACCGGCTGGAAGCGGCCGGTTATTCTCCTCTCCCTACCAGTTACCCCTTAGACATTTACCCCCATGTTTCCAAGATTGCCCAGAATAAGGCTCGTAGGAACCTCCCTCAGGGGTATGTCCTTGAGTATGACCCCAATTGGCCCAACATCATTGAGCCTCATCGGGATGATAGGATGGGGTTTCACATCATTTCTTTGGAGAGTGGCACAGTTTTCCCCCTCCGTCCCCTTCTTGTCGAGTTGTGTCATTGTTTTAAGATCCTTCCCGTGCAGATCACGCCCAATGCCCACCGGTTCCTTAATGCTTTCGTAAACATCTGTGTTGAGCTCAAAATCGATCCCTCCCTTCGCTTGTTTCTCTATCTTTTTGAAGTCCTCCCCGGTAAGTCGGGTTGTGACGGTTATGTTTACTTCAGAGGCCGCAATGGTCGCCAATTCATCTCCGACCTTCCACAAAGCAACCGGCAATGGAAGGAGAAATTTGTTTCCATAAAATTTCCCGATGTTTCCCCCCTGGCCGGGATAAGGTGGAACGACCATATTCTGAAGTCACAGTATACCGAGCCGGCCACAGCTTCTGACTTGGAGGAGAGTTTAGAGAAGCTTCTCCAGGGGGACCCCTTCACCGGGCAGATGTTCCACTATGGGGCCTGGATCTGGAGGATCCAACCGGGTGGCGAGGGTACCCCTAAGGCCCAGGAGGCAGCGGGGCACGGGGTACCCTCCCCGGGCAACACTGCTGAGGCCGGGGGCCCCAGCCACCCAGGTATCTTTCATTCTTTCGTTCAATATCACCGGTCATAGTTGAATTACTTATACTTCTCCATTTGTTCCGCAGATATGAATTTCAGGTCCTACGACATTCCCAAGACGACCGATGGACCTTCTTCTGCCGGTCCATCTTCAAAAACAAGACCGGTCTAGAAGGAGACGGTTGAGATCCATTCTGAGGAGGAAACTCCTCTGACCGGGGAGGCGGCTCAGACAGGGAAGGATCCGGTGAATCCTTCCCCCAGTAAGGGAAAAGGAAAAAAGAGAGTGAAGCATGCGGCCACCACCCATCCTTCAGTCAAGAAGAAAAGGGGAGAGAACGCCCCGGCTGAAGAGTCACTGGAGGAACTCTGGGTCAAATTGACCCTCAAGCTGAAAGAGGTAACACTTATCCGGTACGTCTTCTTGACTTTGTTGCTTGATCATTGCCCTAACCGGCGTGCTTCTCGACATGTAGATGGGCGAAGTCAGGTCCGACGCCTTGGAACAGCTCACCGAAGATTCTTCCTCCCGGTTAGCCCAGCTGGAAGAAAAGTTGAAGAGGTCCGAGGCCCATAACCGGGAGCTTAAGGAGCTGACGGCCCGGCAGGTAGATGAGATGGCCAATCTTTCAGCGATTGCTGGGGGGGCCAAGGCGGAGACTCTCCAGCTGAAGGAAGAAAACCTGAAGCTGATGGAGGAGTTGGAGGCCAAGGAGCGAGAGTTTCCCGGTAGGGCCCGCCAGTGGATGGAGGACAACTTGGTGGAAGCTGCCCGAGTACTTACTTCTTCTGAGGAAAGGACGATGGAAGGCTTCAAGCTGCTCTACCGGGAGGAGCAAGGGAAAGAGATGATTACCCAGATTGGCTCCTACGGTTTCATGTCTGGCCAAAAACGAGACCGGGAGGCCACCCATGCGATCCTCGCCGAGCGGGACCCGGACTTCACTGCTGATTCATACGGTCTGGCCCCCATCCCAGATGATGAGCCTGCACCTCCCTTCCCCTTGAATTGAAAATCTCCCCGGCTGCGCCCGGTTCTTTTTTGTAAACTTGAAACTGGAAATTTCCCCGGGGATGCCCGGCGTACTTATAAACAATTAATTTTCTTGTTTTGTTTGAATGCAATGCTTAATTTCCGTGCCGGTTAACCTTCCATATCTGCTTGCACCATGATTGTTACCTTTTATTGCTTCTTAGAATACCATCATAGAAATTCCGACCGGTAGATATTTCAGGCCACTTTCCAATTGTTTTCGACCGGTAGATCTTCCAAGTTTTTCTTGATCACTTTACTTGAAAATTCAGATCGAATAACTTTGACCGGTTGAACTCCAACTTGGTGGTCAGTTTGAAGAATGATTGACCGGCTAGACTTCTTTTTGGCTTTTGAACACCTTCGTTCTTGTTTTGAAAGTGAAGCAAAGTTTGACCGGTAGGTCCCTTCTCCACGGTCTGCCCGGTGAACTGCTTCGCCTTGTGAAACTTTCGAAGTTCCTCTATATCAATACCCAACCGGGGTATTCTTTTTTTTTAATGACCGGTAGGTTGTAGATGGAACACCTGTAACCTAGTAATTTCTTGAAGTATCCTTAACCGGTAAGAATGCTGGAGAATTAACCATGTTCGAATGGTTTCGAACCCTCTCCAAGGTTCAAATGCACCCTTCTTCCAGGGCCCCCTCTTCTGGGTGATTAAGTCTTTTAATGGCCCTTTGATTTCTGACCTTGGTCGGTACTCAATGTTGAACTGAGTTAACATCATGGCCCACTTTACCATTCTCCCGGAGGATGTTGAATTTCGCAACACTGCACCCAGCGGTTGGTCAGTCAAGACTTCTACCGGGTGAGCTTGGAAGTAGGATGTTAACTTCTTTGCGGAGATGAAAAGCGCGTAGGCTGTTTTTTCCATCGCCGTGTATCTACTTTCAGCTCCGTTTAGTGCTTTGCTCACATAATAAATAGGCTTTTGTGCCCCATCATCTCTTATTAAAACATAGCTTACAGCATTTGGGGAAATTCCCAGGTACAGATACAGAGTTTCACCCGGCTGGGGTTTAGACAATACAATATCTGACACTAGGTATTCTTTCAGCTCCTCGAATGCCCTCTGGCACTCTTCGTCCCATGCAAAAGTTATGGCCTTCTTCAGGACTTTGAAGAAAGGCAGGGACCTCTCAGCTGACCGGGAAAGGAACCGGCTGAGTGCCGCTAGACGACCGGTCAACTTCTGGACATCCCTCACAGATGTGGGAGCCTGCATTTCAGTGATAGCCCGGATTTTTTCTGGGTTGGGCTCTATTCCTCTCTTGGTCACCATGAATCCCAAGAACTTCCCGGTACGAACCGCGAAGACGCACTTCTTGGGATTCAACCGGAGGTTGTATCTTGCCATGATATCGAATGTGGCGCGCATATCAGCCGGGAGATTGAGAGATACCTGGCTTTTGATTAGCATGTCGTCGACGTATGCCTCCATGGTCTTTCCCAGTAGTGGCTTGAAGAGCTTGTTCACCATGCACTGGTAGGTTGCCCCTGAATTCTTCAAGCCAAACGCCATTACCCGGTAACAATAGGTTCCTTCGGGTGTGAGGAATGACGTCTTCTCTTCATCCTCCTTGGCCATGTATATCTGGTGGTAGCCCTTGAAAGCATCCATGAAACTTAGGAGTTCGCACCCCGCAGTTTCGTCCACCATTTGATCTGGACTAGGGAGGGGGTATGAATCCATCGGACACGCCTTGTTTAAGTCCGTGTAATCCACACACATTCTCCATGTGTCCCCCTTGGGAGCAAGAACCACATTGGCTAGCCAATCCGGGTATTTAACTTCTCGAATGTGACTAACACTAAGGAGGTCCTTCACCTCCTTCTTGACGAAGTCTCGCCGGTCGCTGGCCAGGTACCTTTTCTTCTGGCGTACCGGTCGACTTCCCTCCCTTACTGCCAACCGGTGACAGATGATTGAGCGGTCAATTCCGGGCATATCTGCCACGCTCCATGCAAATATGCCCGCGTACTCTTGGAGTACCCGTGTAATCTCTGCCTTGAGATCTTCGGGGAGATTCGCTCCAATTCTGACCATCCTCGAAGAATCACCCGGGTGAAGTTCGATTTCCACCGTCTCGGCCTCGGGCTCCAATTTCTCCCGGGTCTCTCCCTTTGTGATCTCTTGGGAGATGACATTGACCCCCTTGGTCATCTTCTTGACTGCCCGGGCATAGCACTCCCGGGCATTCCTCTGGTCGCCTTTCACCTCACCCACACCATCTGGAGTGTGGAACTTCATGCACAGGTGAGGCATGGAAATTACCGCCCCAACCTTATTGATGCCCGGTCTTCCAAGGATCGCGTTGTGGACGCATTTGATATCCACAACAATGAACCACATTCTCTTCCACACGGTCTTTTCGCCCGATCCTAGTTCGACCGGTAGAACTATGGATCCTTCAGCTTCAACGGTATCTCCCGTGAAGCCTGAGAGAGGGGTTTTGAGGGGTTCAAGTTGTGTCCGACACAACCTGAGTTTCTGGAAGGTCTCCAGGTAGAGGATGTTGACACTGCTGCCGGTGTCAACAAGTACCCGGGCGACGTCCACCCCGTTGATGTCCATGGTGATGACCAATGGATCATTGTGATCTTCACCGGTAGGAGGGAGGTCCCGGTCAGTGAAGACTATTGGCTCCCTCCTGGGATACTTACGCCTGGCCGGTTCGGCATTCACCTCACCAACGTAAATGCTGCGAACCCAGTTTTTCCGCTGCGCGGCTGAATCTCCTCCTTCGGGTCCGCCAAAGATCATCCCAATATGTTCTTTGTCAGGGGCATGCAGTTGCTCCCTCGGCCGGTTGTTCCTCCGCCGGTCATTGTCCTGGTCATTTCCCTGGGTTGCTGGCCTTACCCAATGATGGTTCTTCTCCTGGGCTTTCTGCAGATAATCCTTGCCCAGTTCTGCGCTGTCTATCATCTGCCGGATGACTCCCTTAACACTTTTGCACTCGGAAGTGTTATGGGAATCTGCCGATGGTACGAACAATACGTGCCCGACCACTGCCGTCCAGTTTGACCGGTAGGATTTTCCGGAGGAATGACCGGGTAGGGAGCCGGTGCTTTCCTTACCTCCTGGCACTCTTCTGAATTGACCACTCAGACCACCGGGTCATAGTGGTGCCTTGGCCGGCTGGGTATCGGCACTTCTTCCTTTTTGACCTGCACCGGCTTGGGCTTGAACCCATGCTCGGCCTCTTTCTTTGCCCGGAGTTGAGTTTCAGCCTCAGCAAACTCCCATGCAGTGTGGTAGGCCTCTTGGTACGTGGCCGGGGGTTTCCGGCAGAACTCCTTGTATAGTTCCCCGGCACGTAAGCCACTCAGGAGGAGGGACAACACTGTCTTGTCATCCATCTCCTCAACCTTGTCTACCTCCTCCTTCCACCGGGTAAGGAATTGGGTGAGGTTCTCAGATTCCCTCTGCCCGGCTGTACTAAGATAGGTGAACTTCTTCCTCTTGGTATAGTTCTCCTGGAACTTGGCCTTGAACTTCGAGGCCAAGTCGCTGAATGAGTCAATGCTTCCCGGGCGAAGCTTGTTGAACCACTCGGTGGCTCGATTCCGCAAGGTCTGGAAGAAAAGGATGCACTTTTCTTCATCTGTGCAACCGTTCATGGTTGCACTCTGATTGAAGGAGTCCAGGTGGATTTCTGGGTCCTCCTTACCGGTGAACCTTGGGGCGTCCATCTTAACCTTTCGCGGGAAAGGTGTCAGATGGACCCTTGTAGTGAACGGGGACCCCGCGAGGGGTTTATCCCGGTCATTCTTCTCCCCAACCTTCTTCTCCAGCCTCTCCAACTTTGCCTCCATCTGTTGGACGCGATCATTGGGGGTGGTTAACCGATTGGCCACCGGCACCCTAGGCTGGCTTTCTGCTTCTTCTTCCCGGCGAGAGGCCCTCGTCCTGGCTGGCTCCTGCCGGTTTGAACGGAAGCGTACGGTGCGGGCAGGCTCGGCCTCCCTCATCTCACCTAACCGGGCGAACGCACTGACATGGGCCACGCTCTGCCCCAGCCTCAGCTTGGCTGATTTTCTCTGGCCCTCCTCCCTATCCCCCAGCCTTTCGAAGGCGGAGTTTCGGGAGGTGGCGGGTCGGATGGTTTTTCCCTTCTTTTTCTTGTGGGTCCTTGGAATGTCCCACTCGTCGTCTTCGCTTTCAACCGAGACGCAGTGACCATCCGGAGTGATTAGCGGATTCGTACCTTGCGGGGGGCGCGATGGCCCTGCGGCGTTAAGCGCACCGGTCAAGTTGATGGGGGCCACAGCGCTGACTAGCTGCAGCTGGAAAGGTGATGGTTGCGGCACTGGCGTTTGGAAGGGAGACACCGCCATTGGAGCTTGTAGGGGCATGGTTCCCGTGCCTGGAAGAGCGAACGGGAACATACCAGGGAGGAAAGGCATCCCCCCATTCTGTTGGCACATAGCCATGACCTGGCCAAAGCCCTGGATGGCCTGCAGGTTGGCTGGGTCATTCATGAACTGGGTCATGCTTGGTGGGAAAGTGACCCTTGGTCCAGCGGAAGGGACGGGAGCCGTGAATGGGCTGACCATGCTGGGTGTTGGAACCGAGCTTAGCCCCAATGGCAAAACCGGAGCAGAAATGGTTGGCAGGGTAACAACCATGGGGATGCTGGTACCTTCAGTGGTGGCTTGCACCTGAGCGGGGGTGGCGTTGATCTGCTGGCTCAAAGACATTTTGAGTGGTGTTTCTGTGGGTAGGTTTGTGTTTCGAAGAGAAAAAACCCTAACGGTCCCACGGTCGGCGCCAAAAATGATGGTGTAAATTACTTGACCGGTCAAACTATACTAGACCGGGTCTAGAATAGTTGGCACGATTCAGTAAAGTAAAGAAAGTAAAAACACTCAGAATGACCGGTAGGACTTTAGGTGGAACACCTGTAGCCCGAATTATATTAAAACAGAGAATGCACGGTCAATTTTACAAGGGAGTTTAGAGTGAGTGAATTCGGATCCCTCCTTCTGAGGTTTACATGCGCATTTATACTAGGCTGAAGGGGGGCAAGACCACGTGCACCCACGTGGGATTACGCTGCCGCAGGTGGGAGGTGACTGCTTCTGAGCTGCCTTGTCCTCTTGCGTAGGGGGCTGCGCCTTCGTCGTGTTCTGGTTTGGAAAGATGCCTCCAGCATCTCTGCAATTCCAACCACTATAGTCCAAATCCTTTTGGATTCCTCCTGCCGACACTCTCCGATCTTCGGGAACTAGACCGGGTGTTCTTTCAGGGTTGGTTTGGCTAACTTCGGAGGATGAATTTAGGCGATGGAATAGTTTGACCGGTATACTAACCCGAAGTATACCGGTCATCTTTCTAGTCAACCAGCCATTCCTTTGCTGACGACTCAGATCTCCCTTTCAAGTTTGACTTCTTTGACCGGTCAACTTTCGGGTTCGGACCCTTGACCGGTCATGGGTGAAATACACCCATCACATAGTATCTAGTGATGATGAATATTTACTTGAATAATGACTAATACATAATGACTAAAAGTGCTACATTGGAAAAAAATACATGTGGTGCTACTTAGGAAAAATTATTACTCCTTCCGTCCCTAAATAGATTACAATTTTTTTCTCTCTCCTCTCGATAACTTTTGTTTGTTTACGCGATTTCATTAAGTATTTGATAAAATAAAATCTTCTTGTCACCTCTTGTTTTGTAGAATTTTTGATGTTGTTTTTTAGTATGTAATTTTTACATCTTATTGTTATACCAGTTTATAAATAAAATGATTTCAAAAAGTAGAAAATTTTACTCCATAACCCGCAATTTGTAATCAAATTGGAGACGGAAGGAGTATGTTTTAGTGCTATTTAAGTAAATTCTATGCTGACTTAAATCTTTGTCATTTTAATTTGTGATTAAAGCCTAAATTTACCTATACGTCTTAACCGTTATGTGGGCCTTGAAAGATCGGGTCCTCTTTTTAAAAAAGTTTGGCATGGAAATTCTCCCACCTGATGTCCGTACAATTGTGATGTAGCTCTACTGAGCTTGTATGGCAATTTGTGGGCCATAGTTTTCTTCTTGATAGTTGAGACGACTGAAGATGCCTTCTCTTTCAAAATTAAAGAAAAAGGAAAAGACATGTAGTCCTCTTTGACATTAGCGGTAGAAATTATGCTATGTGTTATAATGGACTTGACGAGGGGTTTCACGGAATGTAAAGGTGTATAATATCGAATGATGAAAAACACTCCCTTCGTCCTCAATTTGATTACAAATTCGGATTTACGAAGATAAATATCTCACTTTTTAAAATTATTATATTTACAAATTGATATATTGATAAGAAATAAAAATTACATATTAAAAAACTACGTCAAAATTTCTACAAAACAAGATGTGACAAGAATATTTTATTTTATCAAATACTCCGTATCTAATGAAATCGCGTAAAGAAACAAAAATTATCGAGTGGAGAGAGAAAAAAAAGTGTAATCAAATTATGGACGGAGGAATATGTGTTATAGTGGGTGTATTAAATTTTGATTGATTGAATTATAAAAAGAAATAGGAAGAGGAGGCAACTCCCATGAGGGTTGTAACCAGAAGAGGAGGCAACTCCCATGAGGGTCGTAACCGGAAGAGGGGCAACACCTAGTCACATATGGCCTGCTATGGAAGAGGGGCGTGATGGAGGGTGTTGAAGCCCCTCTTCACCCCCATAACACATAGCTTTAAAATTAGCATTTTGAAAAGATTATCTAACGGTAGCTTTCAGCATTAGCATTTTTTAAATTAATCAACAGTGTTAATTATTTAAAAACATTAACGCTAATTAGAAACGTTCTTCCCAAACATGGACACAGCGATAGACGTGAAATAAGGAGTACTAATTAATTCTAAAAGGATACATAATGAATTGGAGTAAACCATCCATCGAGTGGCTGATTAATACTACTACATCCTAAAATTGATTTCTTATCTGATTTTTCACTGTCTGCAATATAACACTTTCTCTATTAATATCTCTATTTATATATAAGTATTTCTTCCGTCCCATAAACTCTTTCATGTTTTAATTTTTTAGTTAAATAGTGACACACTTTGGCAACAAATCTATGGAGAATGAGGATAACCTTTCATATTTTATGGGTTTTATTCATGATTGTATGTGTTAGACAATAATTAAATACTACCATAACCAATACTACTAGAAATAATATTAGTATTATTGTCTAACAATTTACCAAACATATCATTGGTCATGGAGATAAATCACATGATATATATACTTTCTCAGTGTTTGAAAAAAGATTTACAACATTTTTTGAATGCCTAATAATCAAGGTTATACGAAGAACTTTCTTTTTCTATCTTTAACTTAACAAATATGTACTTTAAATAATTTTTTCAAATAAGCTTCAACTACACATTTTTTACCATTCACTACGGCAGCTGATATTGGCGCTCCACTAATGTTAGTGGCGCTCCACTTTGCCTTTTTATTGTCAAAAGTTTACAAACTTGCCCTTCTACTAGTAATTTAATTGCTATTGGGGTTTTACAGCCATTTTTATACAATTTTTGGTTTTTATTAAATTTGATTTATTTTTTTAAGTTATGGGGTACTAGTCATAAATTGAATTTGGGTGAGAGTTTGGATGTTTCAAGAAATTCACTACATTTGTGAAAATTTTAGACGAGATATAGATTGAATTTGGTCCCTTGAAAAGACCAATACTTTTTAGGACAAGATCGGTTTTTTTAAGGGAGAAACACCAAAATTGGATTAAAACATTGAAAATATACCAAAATAGGACATCCATGTTTTTATTCCCAAAATAGGACTTACCTTACCAAACATATATGGTCATATACATTACCAAAAAAGTATAATAATGTGCACATTTACACTGCCACATTACCACATTGCAAAGTCACATTACCACAGTGCAAAGTCCTATTTCGAGAAAAAAACATGAAAGTCCTATTTTGATACTTTTCTCTATGTTTTAGTCCTATTTAGGGTGATTTCTATTTTTTTAAATCAATTTGGACTAGTCCGATCTTCATAAAATAATATGAAATTTTTAAGACCGGAGAGTCCCGTTAGGACCGGTTTAAGGTTCTGTTCCGTTCAACTTTTTTTCTGATCTGATCTGATTTTTTGTAGTTCTGATCTGATCTGATTGGATCTGATCAGATCTGATTAATTATAATTTGATTTAAAATTCAAATCAATAATTTGATTTGACTTTATAATAACGTTTGAAATTGTAATGATAATTCATATTATAATATAATTAATATTTTTTATTTTATGATTATCTTTTAATAAAATAAAATTAGTTAATTCATATATTAGAATAATCATTCATATTATAATGTAATAATATTTTTTAATTTTTTTATTTCTATACTTCATTGATTTATAATACAGAACTATTTATGCAACATAAATATTATTATCTCAAGTAGAAATTGAAAAAAATCAACGAAAAAAATAAATTTTAATGTTTATGTTCTATACATGTGAGGTTTTTTATTTTGTTATCACTTAATAGTAAATTTATAAAAAAATGTAAAGTCTTATGCTCAATATTGATAGGATAAACATATTTATATAAAAATAAAATTTTAAAGTATAAATTTATGTTGGTCATGTGTGCATCAATTATTTTGTGGTGGAGGCTATATTGTCACGTCAAATCGAATGTTGTGGATGTTTGTATTTATTGAACGCACTATAAGATTAAGATATGTGCTTTTTCTAACAATAATTGAATTTAGAAAAGTTGGTAGCACCTGAAGTCCTACCATATATGTCTATAAAAATTATGCATAGATGTATATAAAAATTATAAATATATTGATAGAAAAATTATATTACAAATACATTACATATTTAGTTCGGTCCCGATCTAGTCTTTTGAAAAAGATCATCCGATCTAATCAAGGACCAAATGAGCAACCCGACTGTCTGTAGGACCACTTTAGTTCTATTTTTTCCGGTCTCAATCCCAATATATTTCGATTTATCTTTTCGCTTCTAGTCTTTTTGGTGTAGCAGACACAAAAGCGAAGGGATCATATGTTTTTTTAGCAAAATGGGTATGTTCTTAAATTAAAAAGAGGGTCGAGAATGGGAATGAAAGGCACTAAGGCATTATGAATAGCAACTTTCTTTTACGACAATCGCAAGTATTATAAGTAGAGGGGCAAGATAGTAAACTTCTGATAGTAAAAAATCAAAGTGGAGCGCCACTAACATTAATGGAGCGCAATTATTTTTTTTTATCCTCAACTTATTTTTTTACTTATTATTTACTCCGTATTTTTATATGAATCAGATCAGATCAAAAATAGTTTTAAATATACTACATTCAAATCAGATCAGACCAAACTAGATCAGACAAAAACTTATTCCAATCGAATCTGAACTAATCACATCAGGTGAAGAGAACATGGCCTACCTTTTTAACAATTTTCATTTGTTCTAAGACCTTTTACAAGTAACATTTTATGGATTTAAGTGAAGTTAAATTATCAAGTACTTATTGAGGGAGTATTTTTATAGAGGAAATACTCCCTCCGTCCACAAATAAACTTCTCATTCACTATTCACATGGTCAAATTTTATTCACTTTGTTGACCTATTTTCGTCACCCATTTGATAAAATAATATAGTCATGTCACCTCTAGTTTTGTGGATCATTTGATATAGTTTTTTTAATTTGTAATTTTTATTTTAAAATTTTACACCATTTTTATATAAAATGATTTGAAAATAACTTCAGTCAAACATCATAACGCACGATGGAAAGTTTATTTATGTACGAAATGAGTATGATT